CACATGTACAAACTCGTTGCCTCTGATTTCAGAGGGTTTTTCTTTGGTATTTGAATTTGGCAGCGGACTTCCGTATTTAGCTCTATGTAGACTTTTAATAGACGTTTGGCCAAGTACTGAAACTGTATAGCCCTGAACCTGCAAATATTTACTCGCCTACTTATCTTTACTTGCATGAGGTGTCCTAGAAGTTTATACATATGAGTGAAGTTAAGCAGGTAACTGTTTGAAGATTCTGAGCTTGTAGAGTTACAGCAATGGGACAACACACATGCTTAAAGTTAGGCATCTGTAAGCATTGCAGGATCAGGACCATAACACATTAAATGTAGATATGCTGGTCCATAGGTGAACAACAAGAACCTCTGTAATTTCTGCTAATTGAATTGTCTTTTCTGCTCTTTGTGGATTTGTAGATTTTCCCTATTGGCCGTATCCTGTGGTAGAGTAGGAATTTTGGCTCTGGGGCAGCAGAATAAAGAATGAAGATGGGGGTACATTATATTGACCAGAGAATATGTGGAGAATTCTCCATGGCAGAAGAGCTGACTGTGGATGTTTTCATCCACAAAGTGTGAAGCTGAATGCACGTTAAGTTGAACAAATGGAATTTTATTAAACCCTGTGCACTGCTTTCTCCATGTGGCAGAGTTGCTTCCAGTCTAACTCTCTGCATTCCCTGGTAAGGCAACTCCCATTTTCTCATGTGGTGTGATCTATATACTGCTTACTGTATTTTTCACTCCATGCATCTGATGAAGTGGGTTTTAGCCCACAAAAGCTTACGCCCAAATAAATTTGTTAGTTTCTAATGTGCCACAAGGACTCCTCGTTGTTTTTCCCATCAATAATAGTCTCTCCAGGGAACATGGGACCTCTGACTCCTGTTCCATTGATCATGGTACATGGATGACTATCTTTTAGGGCTTAATCCTTGAATAGAGCACATAATCAAAATAGGCAGGCTGTGTGTATATATATGACTCTTCAAGCCGAGTATGAAGTAGCTGGAGTGAAGCCACTCCAGAGAGACTATTGGAGGCTATGAGAAGAAATAACAGATGCAGCCTGTGTGAAGTTCTGTGTTAGGGAATCTGTGCTGTAACATACAGATCTCTTTTCTGTGCTCCCCCTCCACCCATACACACCCATTCCTATGCAGAGAGATAATGCAGGTCTTGACAGTGTACTATGCAGTGCAGTTCTTTGTGTAGGCTTTCCAAAGCCTGGCTACACACATACACACGCAACATAATTTTGTTTCTGTTGCATCTGGGGCTTTACACACTTCTCAGAAGGCAGTGTTAGAGAATTTGGCCTTTAATTCTTAGATACAGGAGAACTTTGCTAATTGACATTATTGACTGGGAGATGCAATGGCATAAATTAGGGTTCAACTATGTCACGAATGCACAGGCTTTTGTGTGAAGGAGTGTGGAGCCATGTACCCCTGAGGCTGTAGCCCATAGGGCTACTTTGCCTTTGTTATACTCACTGTGTTGCCTTCATTATATTCTGCCTTTATTATATCCAGCAGTAATGCAAGAAATCTACAGGCCTGTATCCTATAAGACATTGGCTTCAGCAGTTAGCATAATGCTTGAGCCTGTGAACTTTGGCACAGATAAATGACCTAATGGTCACCCCTAAGTTTTGGGGAACTAGAAACAGACGGTGAAGGGGAATTTTGTCCGTGATGACACCAGTCAACCACAGAAACATGAGCTAACACCAGCTTTTGGGTAGAACGACTGAAAATGTCTGATCACAAGAGTGCCATAGCAACCGGTTGATGTACATGATAATAAGTAAAGATCATTAATATAGTAACCTATAGGAGAATGATACCCCAACATTAGTAGGGTGAGGAAATACAAATAAGGAAAAAGGGAGAACCCCTACTGAATATGCATCAGACATAGGGTGTCAGTGTAACATATTATAAAAGCTGTATCCCAGCCTGTGTGCAGGAATGGAGAGAGAGGTAGCCCTTGGGAGGTGCCAGAATGATGGCCACTGGTGATGAGGAGGAAGGTGATGGTGAGCAGGAAGATAGGAACTGTCCCTTTACTTCTCCAAAATCAGCGACTTCATTTTAACAGGCCATTGTTCGGAGTGTGGAAGGAGAAAAGGCCCCTTGCATGCTCCTCTGTCCCTTGTGCACCCACAACAGGGTCAGTTACAGTCTGGCCCCTAGCAACTAGGTGACATATCTTGCTCCCACTGAAGTCATACATTTTTGCCATCGCTTTCAATGGGAATACAACTCGGCTCTAAGTGAACAAACATGATTTTTAAAAAAATGACAGTTACAGTACCATAAAGTAGCCTTTGTTCATTTATTTTGATGAGTGTAATAAACTTTACATTATTTGCAATTATACCACATAGTACACTGAGAAATATGCTGCAGTGTATTGTGTGAAAAGAATGACGTCTTCTTAATATGGAGAATTCACTATAATATTGTGTCATTAACTGATGAAAAGTGGGGGGAAAAGTAAAGCAAGATCAGTGGGTACTTTGTGAGAATTATTAGGGTTGCAGATTAGTGAAGTTACAATAGTCAAGATACTAGCGTGTGACAGTATGAACAAAGGAACAACCTCAAATTGGTTGCATTACTTGTATATTTAGGGGTCTAATCCAAAACCCAATCAAGTCAATGGAAAGACTTTCGCAGGTAGAAATCAGAGATGAAACACACCTAATTGAAAAATGAATTAACTTTGCTGTGAGAAGCTGGGGCCTTGCTGCTCCAAAGTTGTTTTTGCAGGTGAGATCCTGCATTCCAAATCTCAGGAAGTCTAAAGACTGGACAGGTTTTAAAGATGAACATCTGCCTTTGCATGCTATTGTTATTCCCAGGGAATCATTTTACAAATTTGACACCCGTTACCAAAAAAGAAAAGAAAAAAAAGAGTAGTTTGGAAGACATTTTATTTATACTGTAGCTAAATCTGCTTGAGTTGTCTAGTCCCAGTGAACCATACAGTATTTTCATCAATGCATAGTTCTCTTGCATTTCAGTATTTATTATGAAAACCAAAATTCTTACTCTGAGCTATTTATGCTGGCAACACTTCAAAGAGAGCAACTCCTTTACTTCATGCAAACCTCTGTGGCAGTGAGGAAGAATCCCTCTTGTAAGATCATTTATATCTTTTTAACCTTTTGCTATGGATTTGTCTCAACAAATTTTTTTCTTAATACGTACCTAAACTTTTACAGGAACCTGTTTGGTAAACTATTGCCATAAAAAGGAAAGTCCTCTTCTTCAGTGAAAATAAATTGATCTGTGAATCCACAATCTTTTAGCTTCTTCTTCACTTGCCTGCAAAATAAACCCTATTTCTAAGAGGTAGTAGTATCATAACGTTCTAGTTATACAGAAGAAGGGCAGCCATTGTGCTGTATTGCTCTTGTAGGTCCAAGATGGTGAATATAAAGTTCAAGCTGTGGTAGAACCTTAATCAATAGAGGCCTTCACTTTAGTCAGTCTACAGCCAAATCTGCTTGCATTACACTAATAGTTCCACTGATTTTAACAGGGCTACATATACTGGGCAAATTTCAAGTGTTTTTAATTTCACCTCCATTATTTCCTACATAGTAAGAATTTTTTTTATCACAAATCTTTGAAATGGTAAGTAAATTATGCCTATCAGTTCTCATGTATCCACTATTTTAATTCTTTTCAAATAATTCGAACAGGCCAAGAGGTAGCATTTATCTTACAAAAGTCTCTTTAAGGGAGCCCAGGATCTAGACCTGCATCTATAGTGCTGTGTGCAGTCAGGCTATCTTGCAAGAGAACCTGGAGGTTTGGGAAGAAAGCATCTTAGTCCAGTTGCATAGGAATGCTGCACTTATGTGGAAATAAAAAATGACACACTGTGATAAGGAGCGATATAACTTTGTAATCCATGTCCAATGTAACTTAAATAAAGAGAGAAATTTACTTTTCTCTGGCTTCCACCTATTTCTGCTATGTTTGGAATTTAACATCTGGGAGCACACCAGGGCCAGGTTAGAGCAATCCAGCCCCTAGGTGCACCACAGTAGGGATGTCATTGGCTTCACGCTGTACACACACAGTAGACCCAAATTCCCATTTGGATTGGTTGTCACAGAGCCCCCTATTCCTTTCCAGGGGCAGTAACATTGGATCTTCTCCTCACCCACTGGAGTGACAGCAGGACCCTCACACATTCCTTGGGACCAGCAAAGGTCCCCTATTTAACCCTGGAGGCATGGGTTGCAGCACGGGGACATCCCCATACTGCAGCATCCAGGGTAAACATGCCTTAGTGGATGGGCCATACCCACTGCACTTGTCCCCCTCCTATCAATGCAGAGCTTTCTAGGGTGCTGTTAGCTGAGTCAGTGGAGACCCAGAGCAGCAGGTCTTGGAGTTAATACCCTCTTAAGATGCATGAGGCAATTTAGACCTCTCCAAACTGTTGTCCCACGCTGTCTGCAGACTCAGGCAGTTATCACTTGTTTAGTTACTTTCAGGTTGAGTTTACTTTTCTTTGCAATCACAAGCTCTAGAAATGTACTTGTTTAAAAATGAGAGCCAAGATTTTGATGTAATCCAGGAGCTAGTGCCATAGGTGCAAGTCTACAATGACGATGGCTTAATTCAGACCTGGAGCATACAGGTACTTTTTGATCATTATAAGCAAAGGATGCTTCAATATAAACTAAAAGTTCAATAAATTGTAAGAGAGTTGAAAAATGAATTAACAGTGTCACTTAAAAAGCTCTAGATTAAAATAGCCATTTGCTGTTTACTTTGGAACATACCTGATTTTGGTCCAATATAATCAATACATTTCTCTGGTCAGAGATGGCTGAAATGGCTTGCCTTCTTCCTGGCACATATACAGTTCCATCTAAGTCTATGAGTATTAGGGAAAGAATTAGGTCTTAATTCCCTGGAGTCAAACCAAGGCACAACATAAACACTGTTGTTCCGGTTTCAGCTTCTTAAGACTTTCCTCCTTTCCCTTCACAGCTCTAATTACCTCAGTCTATGCACAGAATCCTCCAGTTGTCAGTCTGAAAAAGATTTGGGAAAATGCTGCGAAAAAAAGATATAAATGAATACTTATGCTAATTACAACTTCCAATTTACTTTGACAGTATACACATCTCCTTTTCTTCATTTTCAGTGAACATGTGTACTCATTTGCACATTCGCATGAGGGGTGACTGGATAGCCCTCTTGAAAGCTATTTGTGGGTCATCCAATGAATCATCCAATCAGGGAGGCAGAAACACTATAATATGATGTCGGTGAACTGATTACACAACATAAATAGCCAATTGGGAATAGCAAAAAGTAGAGGCAATAGTTGTAGTTACAGCTGGTAGAAAATTAGAATTTCCAACCCATGGGAAAGTCTGATATTTCAAAGTTTGTTTTTGTTCTGAACTGGGACAAAAAGGCTAAATATTGAAATATTTTGCGGAAAGGGAAGTTCCAAAAAATATTATATTTTAAATATGTCATTTGGACATTCCTGAATTGAAATATTTCCTTTCACATGGGGTTGACATTAATGTGTTCCCTTTTGATGCCCACTGGGAGATGAGGTTCAAATGCCTCATGCCCCCATTTTCCGCTATGAGCCGGGTTCTCCAGATGGACTACTTCTCCCATGATGCACCATGGCCACATGACACAGATGATACACCACATCAGTTCAACTAGGGGGACATTAAATAAGATATAGTCCAGTCAATAAGCCCAGCCTTTGGGGACTTGAGGAGAATGGGGATGTGAGGCACTCGAACAGTTTCAACTGTAGATCCAAATGGAAATGAAGTTATTTCATTTTACACACCTTCTGGAGATGAATGCATGGCTGTGCCGATAGTGTCGATGGGCAGGCTTCAGTTTCCTGCTGTTCCAGGAAGGAGGTCTACTGGGAAGAGATGCGGTGTACCTGCCCAAGAAGGGAAAGAGCATCTTTGCACACTGACTAACTAACCTAGGGAGGAAGGTTTTAAACTAAGTTCAAAGGAGGTAGGTGACAAAACCTCCAGGGAAGCATAAAAAGGCAGAGGGTAGATGCTGAGGTGGAGAATTCAGAAAATTACAAATGGGACATAGAAGCAACAAGATGGAAATCAGTGGGGGAATCTGCTCAACATCTTAGATGTCTATATAAAAATGCAAGGAATATGGAGAATAAACAGGAAGAACTGGAAGTATTAGTCCATAAGGTACATTATGATTTAATTGGCACCACAGAGAGTTGGTGAGATAAGTCTCATGACTGGAATATTGGTACAGAGGGGGAAAGCTTGTTCAGAAAGGACAGGCAGGATAAAAAGGAAGGAGGTCTTGCATTATACATTAAGAATATATACACTTGTTCTGACGTCCAGAAGGATGTGGGAAGCAGACCAGTTAAAAGTTTCTAGCTAAGGATAAAAGGGATAAAAAATAGGGATGACATCATGATAGGTGTCTACTATAGATAACCAAATCAGGAAGAGGACAGCATTTCTAGAACAAATAAAATAAATATTCAAAACAACAAGACCTGGTTGTAATGAGGGACTTTAACTACCCTGACATCTGTTGGAAAAGTAATATGGCAAAACATAAAATTTCCAATAATTTCTTGGAATGTCCTGGTGACAACTTTTTGTTTCAGAAAGTGGAGTAAGTAACCATGGGGACAGCCATTTTAGACTTGATTCTGACCAACAGAGAGGAATTGGTTGCAAATCTGAATATTTGCAAGATGAAATTCAAGAAAGACAAGTGAAAAGTACTTTATTTACAAAGGAAAAATCAAATGCACAACTACAAAATGGGGCATAAGTGGCTAGATAATAGTATTGCTAAAAGGGATATGGGGTTATAGTGGATCACAACTGAATCTGAGTCAACAATGCGGTGCATTTGCAAAAAAGGCTACTATAATTCTCGGAGTGTTGTATGTAAGATATGAGAGGTAATTGTTCCCCTCTATTCAGCATTGGTGAGGTCTTGTCTGGAGTACTGTGTCCAGTTCTGGGTGCCACACTTTAGAGAAGGTGTAGACAAACTGGACAGAGTCCAGAGAAGAGCAGCAAATATGATAAGATGTTTAAGAAAACCTGACCCATGAGGGAAGGTTTAAAAACTGGCATGTTTAGTCTTAAGACAAGAAGACAGGGCATGGGGGGAATCTGATAGTCTTCAAATTTGTTAAGGGCTGTTGTGAGCTGTAGCTCACGAAAGCTCATGCTCAAATAAATTGGTTAGTCTCTAAGGTGCCACAAGTACTCCTTTTCTTTTTGCGAATACAGACTAACACGGCTGTTACTCTGAAACCTATAAAGAGGACTGTGATCAATTGTTCTCTGTGTCCCACTGTAAGCAGGACAAGAAGTAATGGGCTTAATCTGCAGCAAAGGAGATTTAGGTTAGATACTAGAAAAGGCTTTCTAACTATAAGGGAAATGACACTCTGAAATAGGCTTCCAAGGGAGTTTGTGGAATTCCTTTCATAGTAGGTTTTTAAGAACAGGTTGGACAAACACCCGTCAGGGATTGTCTAGGTTTACTTGGTCCTTCCTCAACACAGAGGGCTGGATTTAATGAATTCTTGAGGTCCCTTCCAGAACTACATTTGTATGATTCTATTATTCTGATTTTTTCCAACGGAAAATTGAAAAATGTTAGCAAAATAGAAATTTTCCTATGGAAAATTTTGTTTTTGTAGAAATAGCATTTTCCATCAAAAAAACATTTTGATGGAAAATTCCCAGCTAGCTCTGGTTGTGGTCTGTGAATAATTTACACAGAGAAAAGGTGGCTAAATGCATTGAATAAGTTGCTTATTGCAAATAGCTATATTGTTAAATCCTGAGCATAGGTGAAGGGTATTGAATGTTGATTCTGATTGTCTTGTGAACACCTATTGTGTTATCTTTGTAGTTCTTTAGCTTAGCTTTCACTATGTTTCTTTCTCCTTCGAATCACACAGAAAATGACCGAATCTCTTAGGGTCAGATTCATATAGGGTAGCACCTTACTCCATTATTTGAAGAGTAACTTAGTTAATACTTAAGTAATATAACCTTATCACAATTATAACATTAAAGTCTTACAAGACGATACATTTTTATTTCAGCAGAACAAAGCTGCACCATACCCTGACCTAAAAATGTTGTAAAGGACATATTTAGAACCATCTTTCCACAGCCTTCGGTGAAGGCTTGCATTATTCCCAGGTAACCTTCTTGTACAGTTTGCCCAAGATGGGCTAAAAGGAGCCCCTTGCAAACTGAAACAAGCTATTTGTTCTCTATTTCCCAGGAATTGCCTTAGTGGGGACTGAAATTAGCTGAGAAATACGTACGTTTTTGTTGTTGCTGAAGCCTGAACAAAGTTAGGAAAAACAAAAATCAGGATCTCGAGCATTGCACTGTCGTGAAATCGAGGAGGGTTTTCATTAAATTACGGTGTCTCTTCCCTGACACCAATTTTCAGAGAAGCACATTTTAAGAAATTTCTCCAGGCTCCTTTATGTCAAGTGAAGTATGTAAAGGACTTGAAGAGTTTGGGTATAAATTTCTTCTGTGTCATCATTGCTCTTCAGGTCCATCACCTGTAGAGAAGACATATAGATCCAGAGACATACACTTTTTGAAGATTGGTAGATCATGCTTTAGAGAGACAGCTGCTAACAGCTACTCATATGTATAACTTGCTCCAGTTTTCAAAGCTACATGGTACAGATGTGAGGAGAAAGACCCATAACAAAGAGGTCAGTAATTTATTAATTTTTATTATTGCCAGCAACTTGGCAAGAGATCCATATACAATGAACATGTCTAATTTATTATTGATATTCATCTTTGTGTGTTTGTCAATGGTATTGATAAGCCTCAGGAAGTCAGTTAATCTGACTGAAATGAGTACTCATGACAATTTCATTGCAATATATAGTGTTGTGAACTGTGCGATTTTATCATGTGTTCTTGTGGTTACAAGGTTTCTTATTACCTGAGAATCTCATCTTTAATTTTTTTTAAAATAAGTTTCCATCTCTTGTAATTTCAGAGAAAAGTTTAAAAACTTGAACCCTAAAGTCTCCAACACTAGAAGACAAATAGAAAGGAACAGATTTATGTTTTCAAAATTCATGATTTTTAAGCCAAACAAGATTTTTTGTGCATGACTCATGATTTTTGCACATTTGGGGTTGGCAATACTGAATATAGATTTCTAAATAGAAAATTACTAAAGAACATCTAATATACACAATTCAAGTAGGGTGAAATTTATTCCTGTGTAGAGTGCCTGCACAAACATTATATACCACTTAAGTGCCACTTAACCTTCAAAATAGAGTGTGCGTGATATATACGGCTTATGCTGGCCCTCATCACAGAGGTGAATTTTACTTTTAATTTAACTGAAGTGTGAAAACACACACAACAATTACAATCATTTCCTTGGAGGATGAGTGATGAATTATTAATATTTATGCATATTTTAGGACATTTGTACTCTTTTGTGCTTGTTTCTATCTTTTAAAATGTGAACCTAATAAAACATGATTAAACAAATCAACAGTACACACAAGTGACAATTTATTGTCTGTTATCATATTATTTTTATTAGTTTTTAGTTTATCTTATTCTCTATTGTTCATAATGTTCTCTTGGAAGTTTCAAATTCATTTTTCACACCAATTTTGTCTTTTTCCATTTGGTCAAGATTTTCTTTTCTGGGCTTCCCAGGGGATTTAATCAGAAGTATTTATATTTGTTTTTATACACGCATTATAAATGCTGTTAGCAGAACTCTTGGAAAAGTGTTTGTTACTTAACTTGGACTCATTCCACCACCTCTCCAGCAGCAAAGCAGAGAACGTAGCTGCTGCTCCATGAACAACAGCTATTGTTATATTAATTGCTTTTTCTTTTTTGGAAAAAAGTTTGTGGATTTTGTATTTTTAGGAAAACAAAATACCAGCCATGCATATATACAGCCCAATCCAGCTCCTGCTGAAGACAATGGAAAGACTCCTGTTGACTTCATTGGAAATTGGATCAATCTCTTAATATCCAGAGGGTATTTCTCAGCAGATTATAATAGATCTAGTGCAAAATTTACAAACCTGGGTGTCTAAATTGAACTGCTAAGTCCATACTTATATATAGAGGAGGGAGTCTTCAGCTGACATGGCTTCAAATTCATTAGCATTAGAGAGTATGTCTACACTGCATACCCCTTACAGTGGCATGTAGAGTACATACACCTCTAGCAAGGGTATAAATGGCAATGCAGATGGTGAGACACTGCTAAGGTGAGTAAAGACACACTAAAACCTTAGGGATATACTCAACACAACTCTCTACACACCCAAGCACTGCCTCCCCTATCTACACTGTTATTTTTTATCAGTGTAGGGTCCTGCTGCCTCCTTGCTGCCAGAGCCTTTCCCCACCACATAGAGCTGCTGGAGCCTTTCCCCTTTGCAGGGAAAGACTCCGACAGCAGGAAGACAGTGGGGAAAAGCTCCAGCAGTGGGGAAAGGCTCTGGTAGAGGTAGGCAATGGGGAATCCCTGCTGCTGGCACCTTTCACTGCTGCCACCCTTCTGCCAGAGCTTTTCCCCACCTCAGTGAAAGGCTCTGGCATTGGAGAGCCTTTCCCCACTGCCTCGTCCTGCCAGAGCCCTTCACTTCCACATGTACCTATCCACATTGCAGTGTAGACACAGTCTGCTTTTCACGGCAGCTTGTAACTACATGTACTCTACACAATGCCAATGGTGCTGTGTAGTGGAGACATACCCAGTGTTGGTTAGAAAAATTCCAACAAAAAATTGCTTGCCAGAATTTGCTGATTCATCAAAACGGAAACATTCTGCAGAGATGTTTAGATTCCCGTGATGTCTCAACAGAAATGAAGCAGGGCTTCTAGGGCCTGCAGCTACAGGGCAGCACACCCAGTGGTATGTTCTGGAGCCAGGGCTCCATTCCCCTCTGAGGAGAGTTTTTTAAAATTTTGGATTTAATTCCAAAACCAGAATACAACCAGATTTTGAAATATTGAAAGCCTCTCTGAACTGGAATTAACTTTCTCCACCCAGCTCTAGTTAGCTGGAATCTTAACAAGGCTTTTCAATTGTGTTAAGCTAACTAATCTGAGCTAACATAATTAAAAATCTTCCTTGTCCATTATAATACCAAGACATCACAGAGCTGATTCTCCACTGCTTTGAATCTTGTGTAGTTATTTAAACTTGTGCAATGTGGATGTAACAATCTAATAGATCAGAAGTATAACATTTTGCACCCAAATTACACAGGAGTAAATGATTACATAAGGCAGAAGAAATGGAGAATGAGACCTGATGCATACACATTCTATGTACTTGAGTCAGTTTTCAAATATGTAACATTACCTTGAATCCTTCAGTCATGAATAAAAGTAAATCAGATCCTAATGAAGATAGTGTTTTAGCCTTCAAACATAATGTAATTGGATGTCATGAAAATGAGTTTGAGTAAAGCATCATATTTATGTAACTCCAAAGAACCATTAAGGGCCACTCAAATTGGTCATCCACAATTGGTCAATTCAGTCCATAGTCTAGGAGTATTCTTGGATTCCTCTCGGACACTGAGGTCTCACATAGCAACAGCCAGAGATAACATGTTCCACCATCTCCACTGGGCTAGGACACTGCAGCCCATCCTGGCTATTGAACACTTGGCCCCAGTTAGTCATGCCTTTGTCAACTCTGGGTTGGATTACAGCAGTGCAATATACCTGGGCATGAAATCTTCAGCACTTAGGAAACTTGTGTTTCCTGAGTAACACAGGCTACTGTGATGGTTTTCTCCCCCTCCCCTTTGGGATGCCACTTGGAACTGGGGTATCATTGAGCCCGCCTGACCCACCAGTCTGGGTTCCCTTTATAGTGAATTGCTGTGCAGCCTGCCAAGCCCTCCCTCAGGCTTCAGACTGCACTTTACCAGCACACGTACAGGTAGGGACACACCCAGCTGCAGCTTCACACAGATGCTGAGATCAGCTTTGCATGGGAAGGCTCAGGTAAGGAACTTCCCAGTTACTCAAGTGCACACCCCCCTCTGGAGGGTAAACCCAAAAATATACACCGTCTTGCACTGCACAGAGATCTGTACAGCGTAAGCTCATGAAATTCACCCCCTCCCTCAATGTGGAGAGGAATATACACAGCTTTCTACACCAAGTTATGATTTCCACACACTGGTATCAGACAAAACAAGTTTATTAACTACAAAAGGTAAAAGTGCCATACAGTAAATGAGAATCTGTCCCAAATGTCTTACTGTATGGGAATCTGTTCTGAATCCCATGTCTCAGGTGTGTTCCTTGCATTCCAGTCAAACAAACCTGATTTAGTATCTGCCATATTACCAAAGCTTATAGGATCCCATTTAATTAATAGAAGCAGGACTTTTTGGATGATTGCAGAATTAAGGTACATACAAAAATTACATCAACACCTCCTTTTACTGCATGGCTGAAAGTGCAACACTTGTGATTTCAAAATAAGAGCATGAGCATGCCCTCAATTTTGATCTTATTAAGAAAGTAACAAGCGAAAATATGCACAGACTTATTCAAGAACTTTGAAAACATTTAATTCTGGGCACAGAAACTAATGCTACTTCTTCCAAAGTTCAGACATAAAACACATGTGACAATAACCACTGATGTGCCTGATAGCAGAGCTGTGTTTTGTGAAATAAACCCAGTACTAAGCATATATTTAATGTATGCCGAGTGAATGCCTGTCCAGTCAGAAATGCCATCCCTCCACATTGGCATTCAAGCAATGGTAAACAATGTCTGGTGTGCTTTGCAGAGAACATTGGTGTGGGGTTGCACACTAAAGTCACAGAATGTGGTCTGTGTTTTGTTAAGCATTACAGATAGGAAATTCTGCACATGATGGACATTTCCGTGAAGCCGTCAACCACTGAGGAGGAGCTGCATGAAAAACAACATTCTGTATTGTGACAGCAACAACAATACCCACATCAGGAGAAGTGGCAGAAGTATCGAGGTCAATGGACTTTCTCCATTACAGCCGTTACTTCTGCTCCCACCATGAATACACCCAATTATGACGAGGACAATGAAGAATTAGAAGGTTAGACAACAGGCATGTGCTTTCTGTGACAAATGTCAGGTATGAAAAATTGTAGTTTCATTTTCCAACTTGGGCTGTGACTAATCCAAAATATTATACAGCACATTTTTAAATTAAAAAGTATGACACGGTATTTTTTTCTATTCTGTTCAGGTTTTTATACCACACCCATCACCATAGTATCTGAATGCCTTCCAGCAGAGTATTAAGCAACATGAATACACATCTGTCACACGTTGTTTGTTCTCTCCATCTCTTCTGGGGTGGGGGAAAGGAGTACAGTGGAGTGTCTTGTTTTGATAAGGTTTTTTGTTACGTTTTGTTAATTAATATATCCATTGCTCTGTTTATAATAGAGAAGGCAGGGTCAAAGAAATGTGCCTTGCACTTGGCATGGAAGGTAGGTTTGTGATGGTCCTTAGTTCCTGGAAATATTAATTCCATAGTCTC